ATTGGTCAACTAGAAAGAGAAGGAACGGATTTACGAGACAATGATGGGATCCGGATTAGAGGTCCGAGTCGGATCAGCCCATCAAAAGAGAGGATGTCGGGGTGAATAGCAAATATGATGAGGCCACACTAGATTTGCCACAAAAGGATTAGTGGAATGTAAACAAGTGGGAGGTTGTGATAGAGAAGTTGGATAAGAGGGTAAAGAGTCGATGATAGGCCAGGCCAGAAAGAGGAGTGATAATGTAACCGTTTTCGGCAGAAGGTTTGCCGAGGGATTGATTCCACTTGTCTCTTTGACGAGTTCGTAGCTTGGTGCGGCGAATGACAAAACTCACTGAGGAAGCCGAGTACGATGTCGGCGAAACATTTGAAATTGTACCAAGTCCACTGTCTGAGGCTGGAAATGATGTCAACTACTATGGAAGACACGGACTAGGTGCGTTCTACTAAGTCGCCCTGACAACAAGACCAAGTTGTGACAACGAGGTCAACCCACTTGGATAAATCGAGAGGAGACTGCGACCATACCAGAGGCCACAACCTCCTGGTCCTGATAACTTTAATTACAAATATTGCCTTTGTTCAGTTCTCTCCTTTTTTACTTATATAGTTGTTCCCTAATTTTATTTGAGTTTGCTTAGGCAGCATGCAAAGTTTTTGCTATTCTTGCCTTTTCAGGTCTCCTGTTTATTAGGTTTCTTTCAGTTAGGATATTGATACCTTCTTGTAGCTTGCGTTTTCGTCTATTTCCGTGATATGCAGTCGCCCTTTCTGTCGATTTCCACTTGATTTGGTATCCCGTCTGTGCGATTTGTTCCGCTATTGCGGATCTTCCAAGCGACCGGAACACCCATCATATAGTAAGAATAGATCCAACCATGAAGATCAACATAATACTTTTAAAAATGTTAAAGGAAATGTATAATAACGGAGAGGTCGACAGATGGATGATAAATTCGTTAATACAAAATGACGCAAGACCATCGACAGCCTATGGACTACCGAAGATACACAAGGAAGGGAAACCACTAAGGTTAATAGTCAACAACAGGCATGGAGCTAGGCACAGGCGAGCAAAATTATTATTCCTGTAGCTTAAGATAATAAACGACAGACGCTTAAACATCGTGAAGAATTCATATAAATTTTCCCAAAGGATCCAAAATATTGGACTGGCAGGGACGGAAATGTTGGTATGTTTTGACGTACAATCCATGTGAGCCGGCCGGATCGCTCTAATGGAGGTCTTGGAGCGAGAGGAGGATATCCTGGAAGCAGAGCGGATACACGACTAATAAATATGACAGTAAGTACCACATATTTTACATATCTATGACCGATGGGATCACTACTCTCATCTCTTTTGGCAAATTTATACATGGACAGATTGGAGAAGGAATTCGAGAAGTCACCGCTGCAACCAAGAATGCGTTTGCGATATCTGGACGACTATTTTTGATAGCTCTGATTTAAGACCGGTGTTGTCTATACAGGTTAACACACACACACATTCAAGCATAAGTACCATGAACATTATGAAAGGTGATTGGCCAAGCCATTCTATATCTATATTTTCCATTCATTTTCGTTTTTTATATTTACGAATTAAGATAGAGCCGGATAGTCTGCTATACCTGGTGTTAACATGAAAGCCCTACAAGAACGAGTTCCAGCCTTGATGGTGGACGAAAGATCAACCGATTTTTACCCAAGAAAGGAAAGGATGCCTCTTGAACTGCATCAATCTGAACAACGTATTAAAGCCAAACGGCTGCAGTACAACAGGAATCAGTTGTTGTATTCAGGTGAGATCAACCTAAGAATGTCCTCTTCATGCATACTAAATGAAGATCTTCGCGATAATATATTTATTAAACAATGCCTGCTCAGGGGCCCGGCGAAAAACATATTTTCTGGAAGACGTTACGCCCTATCAGACTGCCAGTCGTCACATTCATCCTAGAGCCACTCTAAACGTAAAAGGATCGCTTCTCCTACTGCTATCCATAAAGCCCACCAATACTTTCACGCATAAACACACATACACACATGCATAGATGTGGGGAAGAAGACATAAAAACACACGCAGATATACAAGTTCAAGCAAGTGGGATTGAGAGTATCCGTCTTCAGGTTGGCTCTACAGGCTGAGATTACGTCATCGTCCAGACATCAGCAACTTTTACCCCGTCTGACATATTTGATCGGCCTCAGTTGGCAGCAAGATGGTCAGCTCTAGAAGAAGGACGGGTTGACAACACTAAATTGCGTCAAGAATCTGAGGATACATGGTCATAACCAGTTGAAGATGGTAAAAAAAGGGTAGGAACCGCCTCTGGCCCTGCAATTATGAAGACTTAATGGCAGATAGCCAGCCTGGCTGGACTAACTGATACGGAGTTCGTGATTAAGTTGAGAAAACTACCAGATGAGCTGGTGATATTCGTTATGCGCGAGTCTTCGTATCTACATGTGGTTGGTTTGAGAAATAACGAGGGTCTTGGCGATATTTGTAGAGGTTGGAAATGGCGCAAAAGTGAGCATGATG